GGAATTATTTTTGTGTAAGGTGTAAGGAAGCAGGCCAGTGTCATTCTTTTCCATACAGCTGCCCTGTTTTCCCAACCATTGGTTGAAGAGGCATTTTTTTCTTTCCCTATTGCATATTCTTGTTTTTTCCCCTGGAGATCAATTGACCATATAAGAAAATGTTCATTTCTGGGCCCTCTATTACTGTTCCAGTGATCTCTGTGACCATTTTTGTGCCTGTATAACAAAACATACTGTTTTGATTACTGTAACTTTGCGGTAGATCTTACAATCTGGGATTGTGATACCTCCAGCTTTGTTCTTTCTTAAGATAGCTTCAGCTATTCAAGGTCTTTTGTGGTTCCACACAAAGTTTAGTATTATTTGTTCTAGCTCTATGGAAGATGCCATTGTCATTTTGATAGGAATTGCCCTGAATCCACACAGTGTTTTGGGCAGTATGGACATTTTAACAATATGAATTCATACAATCCATGAGCCGAGAATATCTTTCCATTTGTTCCAATTTCTTTCATCAATATTTTATAGTTTTTAGAGAACAGGTCTTTCACCTCTTTGTTTAAATTATTTTTAGTTGTTTTATTTGTTTTGGTGCAATTGTAAATGGAATGGACTTTCTTAATTTCTCTACTTTGTTGTTAGTGTATAGAAACGCCACATATGTCTGTATATTAATTTGTATCCTGCAACTTTGCTGAATTCATTACTTCTAACAGTTCTTTGATAGAGTCTTTATGGTTTTCTTTTTTTTTTCTTTATGGGTTTCTATGGATAGTATTGTATCATCTACATATAGTGACAGCTTAACTTCTTCCTTACCAGTTTGAATACCTTTTATTTCTTTTCCTTTTGTCTGATTGCTTCAGCAGTGACTTCCACTACTATGTTGAATAAGAGCGGTGATAATGGACATCCTTGTTTTGTTTCTGGATCTTAGAGGAAAATCTTAGCTATGGGTTTTTCATGGAGGGCCTTTATTACGTTAAAACACGTTCTATCTAAACCCACTTTGTTGACAGTGTTAAACAGATCATAAACAGATTCTGGATTTTGTCAAGTTTTTTATGTATCTTTGGAGATAATCATACGGGTTTTATCTTTTTTCCTGCCCATGTGATATATAATGTTGACTGATTTGAGAATATTGAACTACTCTTGCAACCCTGGAATAAATCCGACCTATTTGTGGTGCATGATCCTTTTAATAGATTGTTGAATGTTTTTTGTTAATATTTTGTTGAGGATTTTTACATCCATGTTCTTCAGGGATATTAGTCTGTAGTTCCCTCTCTTATTTTTTTTTTTGTTTTGTTTTTTTTTTTGTAGTTTCTGGTTTTGGTATCAGTGCAATGCTGATGTCATTGAATGCACTTGGAAGCTTTCCTTCTACTTTTTGGTAATAATTTGGCTATTAACTATTAATTGGCTATTAATAATTTAGCTATTAACTCTTGCCTTTTGTATGTTGGGGTTTTTGGATTACCGATCCAATTTTGTTACTAGTTATAGGTTTATTCAGCTTTTCTATTTCTTCCTTAGAAATTTATCCACTTCTTTTAGATGGTCCACTCTGTTGGCATAGAATTTTTATAGCACTCATACTTTCCAACCTTTGTATTTCATTGGTGTTGGTTGTTACTTCCCTTTCATTTCTGATTTTGATTATTTGGATTTGGGATCTTTTTTTCTTCATAAGTCTCGCTAGAGGTTTATCAGTACAAAAAAATAATACATTGATCTTTTGTATTATTTTTTTGGTCTCTCATTTATTTCTCCTCCAATTTTTAATTATTTCCTTTCTTCTAACTTTGGGCTTTCCTTGTTCTTTTTCTAGTTTCTTTACATGTAAGATTAGACTGAGATTTTTCTTGTTTGTTGAGGTAGGCCTGTGCCAGTATAAATTTTCTTCTTGGAATCGCTTTTCCTGACTCCCAAAGATTTTGGATTGTTGCACTTTCATTTTTATTTGTCTCCATGATTTTTTCTTGTCTCCATTTAAAAAAATTTCATCTTTGATTTCTTCATTGGCAAAGTGGTTGTTTAGTAGCATGTTGTTTAGCCTCAGCATGTTTTTGTATTTTCCCCCAGTTTTGTTTGTTTTGTTATTGATTTATAGTTTCATGCCCTTGTGGATGGAACACATGCCTGGTAGGATTTCCAGTCTTAAATGTATTGAGACTTGTTCTGTGGCCTAAGGAATGTTTCATGTGCACATGGAAAGAACGTATTGGGATATAATGGTCTGTCTATATCTGTTATGTCCATCTAGTCTAATGTGTCTTTCAAAGACACAGTTTCCTTATTGATTTTCTGCCTGGCTGATGTATCCCTCAATATAAGTGGGGTGTTAATGTTCCCTACTACTATTGTATTACTGTCCATTTCTCCCTTTATGTTTGTTCATTCTTGCTTGATGTATTTAGATGCTCTCATGTCAGGTAGATCAATATTTACAACTGTTATATCCTCTTGTTGGACTGATCCCTTTATCATTATAAAGATTCTCTGTCTTAGATAAAATAGACTAAAAAGACTAGAAGTATTCCTACTGCATCTTTTATTTATTTAGGCTTCCTTTTGCGTGAATATATTTTTCCATCTTTTTTCACTTTCAGTTTGTGTGTGTCTTAAAGTCTGAATAAGAAGCACACAGATGGGTCTTTTTTTTATCCATTCTATCATTCTGTGCCTTAGATTGGAGCATTTAGACTATTTACATTTAAAGTAACTATTGATAGGTATTTACTTATTGCCATTTTTTAATTGTTTTCTGGTGGTTTCTGTAGTTCTGTTTCTTTTTTCTCTTGCTCTCTCTTTGTGATTGATGAGTTTCTGTAGTCTTATGTTTGGCCTTTTTGTCTTTATTTTTTTGTGTGTATCTTTTATAGTTTTTAGGTTTGTGGTTACCATGAGGTTCATATATAATATCCTACTATAGTTGATATTAAGTTGATGGTCACTTAAGTTCAAACACATTCTAAAAGAACTTGATTTTTACTCCCTTGCCACTTTACATATATATTGTCATATTTTACATTTTTTAGGTACAGTTGATCTTACTACTTTTGTCTTTTAACCTACATATAGCCTTATAAGTCTTTACTGTTTACTTTTACTAATGAATTTTTTTCCTTTCATAATTTTCTTCTAATTATGGTCTTCTTTTCTTTGGTGATGAACTCCACTATTTTGATGGTCTGGGAAACTATCCTTCAAATCTAAATGATAAACTTGCTGGGTAGTGTATTCTTGGTCGCAGGGTTTCTTTCAGCACTTTCAATGTACCATGCCACGCCTTTGTTGACTGCAAAGTTTCTGCTGAAAAATAGCAAGGAGCTTTTCTCTGGCTTTTGAAATTCTCTATCTTTAATCTTTGTCATCAACAGCTACTTCTCAAATTTGAAGGAATGATCTTGGGGATGGTCATTCCCTGTGTAGCCTGTGTCTTTCTGGTGACTTCAGCTAGCTGTATAGAGCTGTAGCTATCCTGGGCTTGGCGATGCAGGCCACTCTATGTGGGGCCATCCTGGTAGGATGGTCAGAGCAAAGTGGGAATGGGTGGGGGTGGTCTCAAGGCTCTCCACATAGAAGATGCCTGGCAGCACAGCTGAAGCTGAAGTAGGCATGAATTCTGGGGTTCTTATGCTAAGGGCCTCTTGGCAGAAGAGCTGAGGGAGGTAGAAGACAGAGGGGGCATCTGGTGGGACAGCAAGAGCTGAGGTGGGCATGGGCCAGGGTTACACTGGCAAGTCATCTAGAGCCAAAGTAGGGCATGCCTGGAATGTTCTGGGGTGCTCTGCACCTATTTATCTTTGGTGAGATGGCTGGAGCCACAATGTCCTGCTGGGACATCTGGGGCTAGTGTGGTCCAGGAGCCAGGGGCTCACTGAGTTGGCAAACCAGCTCTGGTGCCTGGGCTTTGCTCCCCTCTGCACTATCAAGATGGAGGGGAAACATAAGTAGTGTTTGCCAGCCCATCAGGCCTGTAGAGAGTTCCAGCAGCTCTCCCACCATTTGTCAGGGTTCTAGGGCTGGTTCCTTCATTTGAAATTGCCCTTAAGCCACAACACTTTTGTCTGTGCCCAGGACAGATGCATCTGCTCACAGTCCCCCTGTTCAATGTCTTACCACTACAGTTCATACACTGGGGGTGGGGCTTCCCTTTGTCCTGTGTCCCCAATTCTCTTACCTCCATCTTTCCTGTCATTCTGTAGGTGGTCCCCCTCTCTTTCACTGTGCAAAAGTCGTTCAGTCAGCCATCAGTTTCCTATCAATTTTTTTTACATGAAGCTACTGCCTTTCTAGTGAAGCCATGACTGCCTGGAATGTTCCTTCCTTGCTTTGAATGTCTAAGACACATTCTCTTAGAGCCCAGCTGAGGTCTTGCCTTATTTAAAAGTCTCCTTGGACAAACTGAGCCCTCTTCTGAACTCCTTGATTTATAATGACCCTACCACCCCCTTCTCTTCTGGACACAGCAGGGTGGTGTATTTTGTTTTTCTTTTCCTTGAGGAGCTTATGGTCTTAGACCTGGAAGTATCCACAGTACCTTTTTTGGTTGTTGATGACTATAATGTTATTACACAGATGACCTGCAAAGCATGCACATTTCACTTCGATATAACAATTGTTAAGATGTCCTCTTATTTCTATAAACAGTTGACCAAGACATTTTTCTAACACTATTATCTCCCTTACTTCATTGCTGGCTAAGTAACTAAGCTCAATGACCTCACAGAAAAAAACAAGATTATTCTACTTTCTCATATTTGTATAAAGAACTAGTAATGATGAGGCCAAAAGTTGACGTTGAGTTGGTTGCCCTCCTCTAACCCATTTTAGAGTTTAATGGACTCCTGGTCACTTGCATAATTAATGGAAGCGCTGGAAAAGATATGGTGAGATGTGCTTTAAGATGGCCTGATCTGAGTGACAAAGGCAGGAGTGTGCAGCTGTCTGCTGGTCTATTTTTATCAGTGGTTCTCTGTCAATGTCCATACCTGCCAGTCAGAAGTTCATACATTAGGATTCCCAGTGACCAGTAGTCGGCTGAAATGTCATGGCCTTTGTTCAGGATGATCTCTGGAGCTACGTACTCTGGAGTCCCACAAAAAGTCCATGTTTTCTTTCCAAATCCTATTTTCTTTGCAAAGCCAAAATCAACCTTACAAAGAGAGAAAAACAAGTTATTTCAAGACACGTGCATTAAACTTAAAAGCAGTAAGTTCTTTAGCTGGAGTGCACTGATAATAAAATAAAAACAGATGCACATTGCTATAGTCCTCTAGTCTGAAAGGAGCCACCTATACTTCAAACACAGCCTCCCTGATCAAACCCAGTTTCTTTTTTCTTTTTTTTTTTTTAAATAGGAAAAGGTGAAACTTGAGTATAGGATAAAACTCAAGTCATTAAAAATAAAGGCAAATCTTTCTTTCCAGAATTATTTTCCAATTTTTACTCCTTTCCTGCCAACGGAAGGCCATAACTCCTTTACTGAAAATCTGTAAAAGACTTGTTGGACCTCCTTGACAAATTTTCCAGAATACGCATGACTTCTGCTGCAATTGAGGTTGACAATCCATTTAGTATTGAGAAGCCACTTCACTGCTGCAGGAGCTGAGTCACAAAGTTTATTCCTGCCCCTGGTAAGCACAAACAGGCACAACATGCAAATGTATTCTTTATTTTTCTAGAAACCTTTTGATGAAGGAGCATCAAATGCAGAAAGTCTATTTTTTTCTAAAACAATTTGGTTGAGAATATAAATAATTAACTGCCATTGATTTGACTTTTCCTTGAAAACCATATGCCGAACAGAAATTCCAAAAGGTTAAAAAATCTGCACTGACAAATGCAGAGTCCATAAAAATTGTACATTTTATAATAATGAGAACTTCCCTCCTGTGTTAAATATTTAGAGCATTTGAGTGATTTTATTATGATGATGATCACTATTATTATTATAATCAAAATGGCCTGGATGACATTGCCTACCAAGCCTACTTTTTTTTCCCATTAAGATTGTATATAAATCAGGGCACTGAGATGGCTCAGTCGGTTAAGCATCTGCCTTTGCCTCAGGTCATGATCCTTGGGGTCCTGGGATCGAGCCCCACATCTGCTCAGCGGGGGAGTCTGCTTCTCCCTCCTGCAGCTTGTACTCTCTCTCTCCTTTTTTCTCTCAAATAAATAAAATATTTTTTTAAAAAAGATAATACAGAAATCTAAAATATTAAAACAATTCATGTAAATTCATTACATTTACAATGTAAATATCCATTCCCTGCGAATGGCAGAAAGTCTCGGAAAAGGTCTCTACGGCCCTTCTAGGTCTAGAACACGTGCCAGCAAGCATGAGCCATTCAAACCCATTCTGCCATGGGAGTATTATCAATTTGGACTTAGCCAATTTAATGTCTTAGGAAACATAAGACATTTGAAAGGATAGTTGGATGCATCATTTCAAAGAATAGTTAGATGCATCACTTGAAAGAACAGTTGGATGCAAAGAGTAACACTAAAGTCTGATTTTAGGAAAAGTTACAGCATTTACAAAAGGACATGGAGATTTCAACGAACACAGCTTGATGAAAGCCTATCTTAAAACTGCAGGGAATCTACTGCGGGTGTGTAGGGTGCACTGACCAGCTTGGTGTAGCCTCTGTGATCCAGGATGAGATTCTCTGGCTTGAGGTCCCTGTAAATGATTCCTTTGGAATGCAGATAGGCAAACGCCTCCACCACGCATGCTGTGTAGAATCTGGTCGTAGAATCTTCAAATGAACCTCTGAGATACGGAGAACAGAAATGTGTAAGACATTAGTTTCTCTGATACGATTTTATTTATGTTTTCTCATGTCATGACATTCCTGTGCCAAAGTGTGACCCCAGAGACCAATAGCCTATGGCCAAATGTCATATAATTGCCTCTGCCTTGGGTTTTCAGAAGCACCTAGAGGATCAAGTCAAGTAATTCTTTGCCCTTACGAATGGGATAGTTAACCCTAACTTGCAAGCACCGCACACAAGCTCAACCACACCCCCCTCCTTCTGTGAATGCGGTGGCTTCCCCCTGGCAGCCCCCTGTCCTCCAACCAGGCACAACTACAGCGGTGGTCGGGAGGAGACGAGTCCTATCTTAGAGGCTTATTTTGGAAAGGAGAAGTTTAGAGGTTCAGTCCTATTTATTCTTGAGGGCTTGTTTCTGAATCTAAGTAATTCCGGTACACTTCATGAGAACATGAATAAGAAATATTTTCAAAGAACCACTTTGGAAATGAGGTGTGATGCTATGACTAAATCATCTATCGCAAGCTCAATATTCTATTTTTTGAAACTTTTGCCAGCAAGAGAAATAATACCTACATCCCTCACTAGTGCCTTCTTATTAAGAAAAAGATGGGGTGAAGAAAGAAGTAGAAGGAAAAAGGTACTTGGACAGGAATATAGATTTGTAAACTTGATTCTGATGTTTAGCAAAAAAGTCCATGTTCTCTGTCTTTCCCTCTCTTTATTTAATGAAATAACAATAAAGGGAGAAAAAAAAAACAAAAAAACAAAAACACTGATACCTAAGGTTAGCTCCTTGTTTCTATACCAGAAACTTTGTACTTTAACATTTCTTTCCCATGAAATTCTTTAAAAAGATAAACTATATTTCCCTTTTTCATTTCATGATGGTTCAGGAACATTTATGTGAACATCTATCCAGAGGAGGCTGCGATGTAACGCAAGAGAGAAGCACACCAGCCATAGCAGGTAGCCCCACAACTGAAGGTGGCCCGAGCTTGCTTCCATTAGAGTCCCTAATGCTGGTTTGCATTTTGGTGACTTTTGCTTTTTTTTTTTTTTTTCCAATATCGAGTAGTAGAGGCAAAGACACCGGGAAGTAGAACATGACTGGTATTTTTTACAAAATGGAGCAGTGAACCCAAGGCCAAAGCAGGACCTTTCAGGTCTTTCTTTTTTTTTTTTTTTTTTTTTTACAAAATACTAGTTTCGCCGGGATACCTGCACCTCGATGTTTCTAGTAGCAATGTCCACAATAGCCAAACTGTGGAAAGAGCCTCAGTGTCCATCAAAAGATGATGGATAAAGAAGATGTGGTTTATGTATACAATGGAATATTCCTCAGCCATTAGAAATGACAAATACCCACCATTTGCTTCAACGTGGATGGAACTGGAGGGTATTATGCTGAGTGAAGTAAGTCAATCGGAGAAGGACAAACATTATATGGTCTCATTCATTTGGGGAATATAAATAATAGTGAAAGGGAATAGAAGGGAAGGGAGAAGAAATGGGTAGGAAATATCAGAAAGGGAGACAGAACGTAAAGACTGCTAACTCTGGGAAACGAACTAGGGGTGGTGGAAGGGGAGGAGGGCAGGGGGTGGGGGTGACTGGGTGGCGGGCACTGAAGGGGGCACTTGACGGGATGAGCACTGGGTGTTATTCTGTATGTTGGCAAATTGAACACCAATAAAAAATAAATTTATTATTAAAAAAAAAAAACAAAAACAAAAACACAAAATACTAGTTTCTTCCAGAATGTTCTTCTTTTCAACCTCTAATGTCCCTGGTGTTGTCACTGAAATATTTTGCTCTTCCCAAAGAAACATCTTCCTTTTGAAATACAATTCAAGGCAGGAAGATATCTACTCTTACAGATAACTAGAATCTTAACTATAGTTAAGAAGATTCTAGGGTTTCTCTTCAATGTCTGAATGGAAGGATTGCGAACTTATAAGGACAAGATAAAGCTTCTTTGAGAAGGAATGACACACCATATGCTGCGGTTCTCTTCTGACTGGGAACTACCTTTGCCAAGGGAACACTGGATAATTCTGTGTGTTGAGTAGGGGGTTGGAGTAGCGTCGTGGAGGTTCTTTCTTCTTTGCCCTGAGGTACGCACGCTTGCCCATCTGGAGCACCATCTTTCTTTCAATTGGAGAGATCACTTGTAGTAAACAGTAAGCAACCACGTGCAGAGAATTCACACAGCTGGAACTCTACTGAGCGCCACATAGGACTCCAGTCCTCTGTCCCTGGAGAGTTGTGCAAAGCCATGGCAGAGCCCAAACAAAACAGGACAGTAGGGATCCCTGGGTGGCGCAGCGGTTTAGCGCCTGCCTTTGGCCCAGGGCGCGATCCTGGAGACCCGGGATCGAATCCCACATCAGGCTCCCAGTGCATGGAGCCTGCTTCTCCCTCTGCCTGTGTCTCTGCCTCTCTCTCTCTCTCTGTGTGACTATCATAAATAAATAAAAATTAAAAAAAAAAAAACAGGACAGTACATGGAACACAGCTCTGTCCTATTTCACTCTACATGTTTTGTTTTAACGAAGAAATTAATTGCTTCCTTGTACCAGGCCTGTCTCACTGTGATTTCTGTGGGCCTTTTTGAAAGCCTACAAATTCTTGGTTACCGTCAGAGATTATTTCTGAAGTGGTGATTCCAGGCAACAAAGCTCTGTTTTCCCTAATATTCACTTGTTAATGAACCAAACCAACGAACTGTAAATATTGTCAGGAAAGCAAACACTTCTGAGAGATCAGCTTCTCATCAAATCTCTGCTGAAGGGTCCTCATATTTATATTCTAAGTCAGTCATTAGCAGGGGAGATGGAAAGAATCCTAATGCAAACTCAGATTCATTGGAGGAGGCTCTGAGTGAGGAATATGCACCCTAAACAGGAAATCTTGGGCTCAAATGTGGGTTTCGCTTGTTTAATTTTGAGCAACTAACTATACCTTCCCCGTCTCCACCTTCTCTGATGCAAAATGGGGCTAGGAATAGAAATACTCTCATTGGATTGTTGTAGGGATATAAATAATTGATGTGTATATTTAGAATCAGTGCCTGGCACACAACCTGATAAATACGAGCCATTCTAATTGAGCACAAAAAAAAAAAAAAAAAAAAAAAAAAGTCTTTTAGCTGCTGTGTCTTAATCTAGGAAAACTGAATGACATAGGCAGGTCTGAAGTCTTCTGGGGATGGGAGTGAGGGGTCTGCAATACGTAATTAACACTGTCTTTGGGGTGTATTGCTATTTTTCAGGGTCCAGGCTAACTGCTCTGGGTCAGCTCTGAAGGGTCTCCTGCTAATCTCTGTTTTCATTTTCTGTTTCTCACAAAGGCACAGACAAAAATGATTCTTATCACTTGCCAATTTTCATCATAAAGTAAACTGACAAAAATAATAAACTGACCACCAACGTTCACCTTTGGGTCTTCAGTTCTTTACAGCTCTGTTTCAAGGTTTCTCTGATTCTCAGCCATTTTGGAATTTGGAAGGTTCTAGAGAGCTGGTTTCCATTCCTTTAAAAATCTATTTTGAGTCCCTCTGCTATATAAGCATATTTGTAACTGATTTTTAAAAATTAAATGAAAATGCTATCTCAAATCTGTTTCTATGTTATGTGACAAATCAACATGGGCTTACAAAATATTTATCAGCAACACAGCTTCATCACAAAACCTTTGATGTGGTTAATGTGTAGGTTTACACTTCTGAGAAGCAGTCACAAAGCATAGCATTAGGGTGACTCAAAATAAAAAAATACTGTTAGAATCGAAAATGACAACTCAAAATAAAAAAATTACTATTATAATCGAAAATGACAACAAATATTTGATCTAAAACCAAAACGAAAGCTTGTTTTTTATCAACAGAAAGTTGCTTAAATAAATAAATCACTGCCCTAAATAGCTCTTCAAAATAATAAATTACGCCTTGACATGTCATTTCAATGAAACCACGTAAGGAATAGGGCTTTGGACCTTCTTTGGGAACAAGTGGTAGTTTTATTTTAGATAGATGACAGTAGATAACAATTTGAGAAAATTAGGGGATTACATATGCTTATGGATAGACCCAGCTTTCAACCTAATCTCAATGGTTAATCAACTCATCACAAACGGTGTCCTGAAATAACAGTAACAAAGACAAATCCTCTCTCCCAGAAGGAGATGGTCCCTCTCATCCTTGCCTACTAACCCCAATCAGCAATGAGTATCCCCCTTGAGTGTGTTGCCACCGTGAGGGTTAACTGCCACTTGTAAAGGTAGGGAGGCCAAATTAGTAGGAAAATAGACTCATTTCCTTGAGATACTTTGATTCTTGGGGTTGTCAAAGTGTAATTAAAATGCAATGTCAACTTCAGATGTCCAACATAATGAATCCTTAACTCTGTACATCACTTGGCGATCACCACGGTTGGCGTAGGCAACGTCTGTCACCAAATGTCACCTCAGTATTGCTGATTGTATTCCCAATGCTGTACTTTTCATCTCTGTGACTGAATTTTACAACTAGAAGTTCATATTTCTTAATCCCCTTTATCTGTTTCACCCATCCCCCCCCACCTCCCCTCTGGCAACCACTAGTTAGTTCTCTATATTTAAGTCCATTTGTTCCTTTGTTATATTTTCAGGATTCCACATTTAATCGAAATCATATGGTATTTGTCTTTCTCTGACTTATCTCACTTAGCATAACACCCTCTAGCTCCATCCATCTCACTGCAAATGACAAGATTCCATTCTTTTTTATGGCTGAGTAATCATCCATCGTATTTACACACCACGTCTTCATTATCTGTTTATCCGTTGTTGGACACTTGGGCTGCTTCCATGTTGGCTACTGTAAATCATGCTGCGGTAAAACCAGGGGTGTGTGTATCCTTTCACATGAGTGTGTGTGTTTTTTTTTTTTTCCTTTGGGTAAATACCCAGGAGTGGCGTTACTGGATGGTAGGGTAATTCTATTTTTAATTTTTTGAG